CCCCCCCCCCCCCCCCCGCTGTATTCGTCGGTACCTTTCTGCTTCCGTATACCTAACCCCAACAAACTCTATTCCTAAATAGGCCATGTGATGCGTTTTTTGGCGGAAGGCCTGTTTCACAAGCCTTTCGTGGTTACTGCCGCGAGGCCTTGGCGATTTGTTTGCGTTGGGCGTTGTTTTCATCAGTAGGAAGGTCGGGGCGGCGTAGGAGGAAGGATCGTACAACCGTCAAGAGTCGTTGGGTGTTTATATACTCCCATGTGTTTGCCATGCTGTGCTGTGCTATCTGTCTGGCTGCTGCCGCTGTTGCTGCTGCGTTCGTATACCGAACATCCTACACCAAGCCTCTCTGTGTCTCTCTTTGTGCGTGCGCCTCGTCTGGTTGTCATGTGGCGCGGTACCTGTCCTGTAACCGTTGTGTCATCGTGTCCGTCCTCCCGGGAAAGAAACAAGAAACACACACACACTTGGTGATCCGGAGAATAGATTAGTGTCTCCCATGCCGCCCCCTCACGGGGTGGGTCCCAGTTAACGGCATTTAGAAGTGTATAGTGTTTTCAACCGCAGTGAAGACTGAAGTCTTTTCATTGGTCAGCCGGTTAGCGCGGTCGATGCTATTAATAAAAAAAAACACGCACACACACACACTCGCGCACAAACCCCCATCTTGTACAGGTACCGGGACAGCAAGGCTTATCCGCGCGATCCGAGAGGCTTCCTCGAGCTCAAGGGTTGCTTTCTCGTCAAGGGGTCTTCGCAGAGGTGAATTGAATGAAAATACAACACGTTTAAAGAAAGCCCGTTGTCTTAGATGCATTTTTTTTTTTTCGAAAAGACGGCAGTTAGGGTGCCGCAGCCGCTGCGTAGGCGGCGTCAGGAAGGCCGCGATCAAGCGGGCCGGAGAAGCTCACGATACCTTTGCGACATGGGTCCAGCGGGTCAAATCCAGGAGGCCACGTGCCGTGCCGTTTGAACGGCCTGTCTTTTCCGTCGGGTGTCAGGTTTTGAATTGCCGTAGACCTCGCAAAACCGACTACTTTTTTGACAATACGGCAGAAGGTGGCGACCGCGCCTGCCGGAGAAGCTATGTAACGATACCTTCGCGATATCCACCGCTGTTTGAGCTTCGCGCCTGTCTGCCGACGGTGCGCGTGCAGGTGGAAGATTTTGTCCGCGGACGCTTCGGCGGAACAAGATGATTACAACCGAGAGATAGGGGCGAAAACCGCAAAGGAGATGGAGAGCTGGTTCAAGAGCCTCCAAGAGGTGGGTGTTTGTGCGTGCGCTTGAGCGGGGGGGGCGTGAAGAGAGGAAGAGAGAGACAAAACCGACAGGCAGAGGGAGTGGGAGGGAGAGAGAGGCAGAGACGGGCAGAGGGACAAATATATGTATATATTTATGTGTTGCTGGACATGTTGTATGTGAGCGGGTTTTGTTTCACCAAGTGCGACAGAAAGGCCAGCCCACGGCAAATTGTTGCTACCGAGCTGCATGCTTTGCCAATTCTTCGATTTCCTTCATCGTCGATTTCGTACTGTAGATGCCATCATATGCATGACGCCATCATCACCATAGATGTTATTTGGCTGGGGATAGCGTATGTCCGACCATGTTCTGGTTTGCTTGCTGCGTGGTGATGTTCGAACTGAAAGATAACGACAGAAATTCGTACCGCTTTTTCTCGGCTGACCAATGAAAAGACGTCAGTCTCAGTGCGATTAGAAGCACAAAAACGCTCTCAAGCGCCACGAACTGAGACCCCGTGCGGGGGCGGCATGGGGGGACTAACTTATTCTCCGGATCAAAGACAAAAACGGGGTCAACAGAAGAAAAATGCACACGTCCATGAAGGCTGCTACCTTGCACTCGAGTCCGTTTTGGCGTGCTTTCACCGTCATCCTCCTTCCTTCCAACTCCATCATTCTCATGGCCTTTTCATAGCAACTTCTCGACATTTCCTCTCAAGCCTTGCGTCGTTTGTGGTGGGGAAGGTCATCTCTGTGTGTGTGTTTATTAGCAATGACCGCGCTAACCGGCTGACCAATGAAAAGACGTCAGTGCCAGCGGTAAAAATCAAGGTCCCTGGAAGGGGGCCAAAATTGGAAGAATGCGCAGTGCGCTCAATTCGAATGCCAGTACGACTCTCTACACATTCTTTCACGTAGACACACATCTCAGCTACACAAATGCCCTCGCTCGAATCTAGCAAGCCACTGATGTAAAGAGCGGAGGACAGCAAAAGGGTTAATTCAAGCCCAGCCGAAGCCAGGATATCGTGGTATGCTGAATCTCCCAATTTGATAATCGTACACTCCCAAGATCCAACAGGCATCGTGTCAGTAGCTATAATAGGTGACTCAAACAAAATAGCAACACATCCACTGCCATAGCTCCACACATGCCCCCGCCCGAACCTAGGAAGCCACTGATGCAAAGAGCGGAGGACAGCAAAAGGGTTAATTCAAGCCCAGCCGAAGCCAGGATATCGTGGTATGCTGAATCTCCCAATTTGATAATCGTACACTCCCAAGATCCAACAGGCATCGTGTCAGTAGCTATAATAGGCAAACAAAATAGCAACACATACACGGCCATAGCTCCACACATGCCCTCGTCCGAACCTAGGAAGCCACTGATGCAAAGAGCGGAGGACAGCAAAAGTGTGTGGGGGTTTCTATGACTACTGTTTGCATGGACAGCGCGAATCGACTGACCAATGAAAGACCCCAGCCTCGCAGCAGCGTGTGTCCGTGTCTTAATGACTACCGTCGACCGCGCTATTCGGCGGACCACTGTGTGTGCGCGTGTGCGTGTGTTCGTGCCCATCGCGCTTGCTGTCACGATCCGATTCGATCGTCAGGCAATCGACTGCGCCGACACGGGAGAGGGCCCTGCCGGAGTGACCCTGCCGTCGCTAGACTCGGGGGAGCAGGAGTTGGATCACCTCCTGTACCACGGGACGAAGGTGAGACCCGCACAAATCAGTTGACCCGCCCGCACCCCCCGGCCGAGGTTCCCATGACCACCCACGGAACTGCCTTGCCGTACGCTCTTTCGCTGATTTATGCTCGGCGTTCCCACCCCGCCCGGGCCCTACCCCGCCCGGGCGTTTTATCGGGGACCGCCTTGACGCGAAATTTTACGAGGAGATGAAACAGGGAGGGGTGAACGCAGACCCGATTCCGTGACTCACCCTCCCCGAGCGTGTGCTTTACCCAACATGTTTAGATAGCACGAAAAACCCTGCGAAGGCTTCTGTGTATCATTGGAGGGGGGGGGGGGGGGGGGGGG